TGCACTTGGCCTCGTTGAACTTCATGAGGTTGGCACGGGCCCACCTCTCCAGCCTGTCAAGGTCCCTCTGGATGGCATATCCAGAGGGATATCCCAGCTTTCAGCACTCCCTGGAGCTTACCTGAATGTCTAGAGAGCTGCGTCTTCCCTCTAGAGCTAGAACTGACTTGAGGTCTCTCATGTACCAGGAATAGTTGCTCCAGATGGTGCTAGGAACTGCGCCATGCGGTGCATTACCACTACTGTTTAGTACACACACACTGTCTTCAGCAGAGTTTCTGGCTCCCCTCTGCATGAATTGCTGTGTAAACTCTTGTATCTGCCAGCTGGCTTCGGGAGTGGTGCTCTAGGTCCTGCACCTATATAGGCTTCTCTCTAGTATCTGCTGAAAGGGTGCTTGATACTCTCTAATAAGGAGACAGCTGGAAGAAAGGCTCAAGGCAGCTTTTGATCAGGAGTAGCTGACAGAGCTTGTTGGCAGCAGCTGGAGCAAGCTAGAGGTCACAGCCTCCTGTAGCTGTCCTTTCCCTGCAGCAACAGGCACCTTCAATTCCTCAAAGAGCTCCCAGAAATCCTCCCATCATCCTTGAAGAAGTTCTGGGAACATCTAGAAACAGAGCCTGGAAAGTGCTGCATCTGTTGGCTGCCTCTGTTAGCTGAAGCTTAGCACAGGGTAAGCTCTGTCATGCAAAAGCAGTAGGCACTTTGATAGCACATCACACTTCATGACTTCCCAATCCTCTTAAAATAAAAAGAAACGTGGTAGTGCTGTTAGCAACTACCTAGACTTAGGGAAAATACAACATCCATCAGAAATTCCTGTTTCTTGTTGAGTTACTAGACCTACCTTTCTCTCCATTACATGCAAAGGAGGAAAGCACATGAATCTTAATCCACTTTATAAACTGAGATCCCACAACAGGCCCTCTCTTTTTCCCTCCCCCCTCACCACCTTTTCTTTTAAAGAGTATTTAGGGAGCTATTTATGTGATAATATGGAAAAATGATATTCAGCCTGCGGCTCTAGAGCCTCATGCAGCTCTTTGGCATTGGCAGAACCATTAGGCTTTTACATGGTTTTGATTAAACTTTTCTTGCTCTGCTTGGCCTCAAGCAGAGTTAACAGAGCATTGATAATATGAACATTGCCAGGAAAGTGCAAAGGAGCACCTGAAATCCTCAGAAAATGGACTAAATCTGTGAGGATATTGGCTTCTTTACAACATGGAGCATGTCAAATAGAAACAAAACATCGTCCTCTTTTCAGTAGTGAGGACAGAGACCGTATTAAGAAAAGCCTTAAAACTAATCCTAATATCACAATCAGAAAAAGTACAGTGCAACGATTAAACTGGTTTTTAATATGGAATAATTCTGCATCCTGAAGATGCACACTCTTTTAAGGAACAACCTCATGCAAAGATAAGATACCATATCTGCCACTGATCATTAACAAACCTTCTCCATATGTTACATTTGAGTTACTAAAAAGGACTGAAAGCATTAACAATTTTGGGAATATTTGTCTAGAATTTGCTGATTATTATGCAATAACACACCAGCATGATATTTTCCATCACGAAAACACTTAAACGTCAGTCCAATGCTCCTTAGACCTCTGTCGTTCTGTTCAGCTGCAGTACTGAAACAGTCAGGATTTCCAACAGCAACACATCATGCGTGGACTCATTAGGTTTCTGAAAGTTTTTGAACTGACTACATTTACAGAACAAGCATCTCCCTGCATTCTACATGGCGACTACAAAGGTTAGGATTTTCCTTTGGAGAAAATTCTTATGTAAAAAAGATTCCCAGATGATACGGGCACACTCCTCAGAAGATAAGCTGACAGACACATCTGAATGACAGAACACCACAAGACTAGAATACAACAAAAGGACATGTGAAATCATACATTCGATTGGGGAAAAAAATGTGATAAAGGATAATACTTTAACAACCAGCCACATATAAACTATTAAAACAAGTTAATTTTCATCTAGCTCTTCTGGACATTTGACAATCTTAAGAAGATCCCTCAAATAAGAGGTCTGGAAAGCAGGTTCTCTTTATTCTCTGTAAATTTCATAGCTTCAGAAATACACTTTTTAGCCAATGCCATTGGTATCACTTTAGAATAGTCAACCTGAAAAAGGATATTTGCTCTATGGCTGTGACCTTGAATTCCAAGCTTCAGCAATGAGCAAATATTTACAACTAGTTATAAACCCCTAAAAATAGGGGTTCATAACAGAAATGCTGACAGACCTTAACTAAGTTGGTGTGAGCGGGCGCCACTATAATTAAATAAATCACCAAGGTCTGTTGACAATTAGAAAACTCATTTTGGTTTGCCACAGAGACAAACAAAAATTCTGTTCATTATAATTTTACTGGAATATGATGTCATAACATGTAAGCATACTGAAACAATCTGCTGCTTTTCTAGCCAAAATATTAATTGCATACTAAGGAGCCCTTGGGGCCTCTTCCTTTTTGGCCATCAAATCCACACACACAAAGACAAATAAAGTATTAGTACATACGTTATGTGTTCAAACTGCATTTCCTGCATTTCTCTGGATTCCTCAATGGCATAAATGTTTCTGATAAATATTGTTACTTTATTCTTAGAAGGGAAAAAAAGAAAAAACCAAAAAAACAAGTGCAAGCTGCAGCTCAAGGTGACCAGGAAGTTTATTTAATTTTAGCCTCCTTTTCACTGTTAAAAACTCCAGTGAGGTTTTGTCTAAATTCTAACGGCCAATGTATTCCTCACCTATATAAAAAAGTGCAAATAAACCCAATTACTTCCCTGCTACAGAAGTGTTCCAGGAAGTATTACTCTATTCCCATTTCACATTGCAAAGCAAATCAGAACAGGGACCAGTCTGGGCAAGAAGAGGGCGACCAAAATACAAGACACAAGATTGTACGGGAAAGTCATTCTTCAGATGCCAGCTCCGTGCTGAAAGGGTCATCCCCTGCAATTTTTCCCTCTGGCACCTTTTCCATACCAGCTCAATCAAGCTGGCAGTCCTGCTGACACTGCTTAAGCAGGAAAACGCAGTGAGTTTTGCAAGGGAAAGGATAGAGAGCCACAGACCGTGCAGGGGAGAAGGAAACAGCATTCGTTGTGAACAACTTTTTCTCTGTAACATTTGAAATTTCTCTAGGGGAGCAAGATGCTTAGTGCAGCTGTTCCCTGGCCGTGCCCTATTTTTCTAAGCAGTCCATTAGCCACGTGCATTTCTTACAGATGTGAGTTCTATGTTTTGAAGAAGGAAACATCCAGCATAGCCACTTTTGTCTTCAGTCCACCTTCTGGCTCTTTCAGCAGGTCCACAACAACACCTGGGAACAAAGAGGCTCTCTTTTCCAAGTACTTCTTTTGAGAACTGCAGTCCATTATCCCCAAATCAGTCTGGCTGTTCTCTTCTAGATTACCTCCGTATCTTCCAAAAACATTATTAACATAAAGCAAGCAAGACAAGGCAATATGTATCACTTTCAACCAAACACATCCCTTATTAGATGGAAATAAAATTTTTGGAAATTTCTATTCAGCTGATTCATTTATATAGCCTATTGCTGTTTCCACCTTTCCAATGGTAACCTCTTCTCAGCTACGTAGATGAGATTTAAAAAAAAAATAATCATGTATACTTGTCCCAGATTATCCTTCATTTGAAAGATGGTTTCAAAATATAATCTGAATCTTTAAAACTTAAAAATTAATTAATTCTGGATGATTCAATATTTTTTTCTTTATGTAATATTTGCTATGATGAGTTTATGAAACCAATTTTGACCTAGTTGTAGAAACTTCCTACGCAATAGAATGTTTAACTGACTATGTTATGGGGATTGGAAGTAGATGATCTCTAAGGTTCCTTCCAACCCAAACCATTCTATGATTCTATGTAAGAATTGTAAAGAATAGCCACATATTAACAGAAAAGAGATTCAAAAGCAACTGTTACTTTTTAAAAAAAAATAATGAGAAAACATAACAAAGATGCTTCCCGTTTTAAAACACGGAAATCCCAAACCTTCTCTATTTCTAATGTAAGAATGTAAGCAAATCCTGAACTAAACAGTCAAGATGCACAAGTCGCAGGGAACTGCATTATATAGTCCTCTATCTGTTCAAGTCTATTAGAAAACAAATTTTGGATGAGGCTTTGAGCAACCTGATCTAGTGGAAGGCATCCCTGCCCATGGCAGGGGGGTTGGAACTAGATGATCTTTAAGGTCCCTTCTGACCCAAACCATTCTATGATTCTATGAAATTAGATTACTTACTTCCAGTGTTTTTGCTGGGAGGATGATCTAGCAGCTGAGTCGACACTTAGGAATCTCCTAATGTTCAGTTTGGCTACACTTTTACATTTTGTTTTGTGTCAATAATATTATTTAAAATATTAAAGTATCTTGCTCAACACATCTTAAAAATCACATTTGCCTCTCCTCTGGTTCAATCACATCAGTTGTTCTTAGTTTATCTTGCAAATAATCAATAGATTACAATCAATTAGATAACACTCCTGTCCTGTGATTTCCAACTGAATAATCCTCAAGTGAAAACAAAATTAGTACTACTCGTGCCTTTGGTCTTAACCTTACATTTTATACTGGAAAGTCTAGTCTCATCCCTCACGATCATCCAACTCTTCCTGCATATCTTGATCTTCCTGTGTAGCGATGACGCCTTCTATATCCCATGAATGTTTTCCTACTTTTTGTGCAAACACCTTTAACAAAAATAATTAAAAAGGTTGACTCTCAAACTGGAAGACTGCATTTAATAACCTTTCTCCAAGTTTGACTTTTAATACTGCTGATTATTTTCTTCTCCTTTCCCACCTTGCATTTCTTACACAAATCCCCATCTCCTTCAGTTTAATGAAAACACTATCCTTATCTAATGCTATAAAATGCTTAACTGAATCCCGCAAATACAAGATCTACTTCACTCTACATAAAAAATGTGTTAACACATAACATGCAAGGTTAACACAGTAGTCAGTCACAATCTACCTTTACTATATTGTTACTTTATGTTGGTTTTCTTTTACATCCATGTCTTTATTTATACTTTCTTTTGAACTTTGTGCTGAGTCTGTGAATATTTCATAAAGTTAATGATGATTCCCTTTTCTTTTTTTATTTTCTTTTCTGAGCTAGAGACTATGCAGCTCCTTCAAGCAGTATGACTAACTTAATCAAAAACATTGACTCATGTTTTCACGATCACAGTATTGAAACATTCCTGAGTAAAAAGCAAAAGGGATTCAGTTTACCATACACTATCTAACGTGGAATCTTCCCAGGAGAATTTGTGATGACAAGATGATAATATTGCCACATCACGGTATCTCTGAATGCCAAGTTGCTCAATACAGATACTTGACTGAACTAAATAGTTCAATATTTACACTCTGCATGTATCACTACTTTGTCTACCATTTGCAGTAAATAGGTACATCAAAAAGTAAAAAACAGTTGCTAATCAACAGTAATTAGAAGAAACCAGCAGAAAGCTACAGACACTACAAGTTAAATCCTTTGATAGTCACGGATCAAGCTAACAAGTAATACAGCAAACATATTGATCCAGTTATGTAGCACTAGTTACAGAGAGATGCCTCCATGCACAGTAAGTTCAGATCTCTGCTTCCACTTTTATTGCTCTCTCTCCGTCAGTCTAAAGCCTTAAAGCCTAGAAGAAGCACTTTTCAAAGTGCCAGAAGGGTCTGAAACCAGCCTGAATATCTTTTTTTTTAAAACAAAGAAAAACTAGTGCAAGAGATAAAGAGATATGAGAGGGAAAAAAATAAAAAGGCTAAGAAGTAGTAAAAGGAAAAAAACCTAGGGGAAAAGGATTGTGAGATGAACCCTCCAAAGTACTGTACATTAGAGACTAAGGCAGAAAAAACAAGTGAAAAACAACAATCAAAATCAAGAGAGCACAGAACAAAATGTTATGTGCCTCTGAAGAAGTATTTTTATCTATCAACTGAATAACTAAGTAATGAAAACGGTCAACACAACTTCAACTTATTCTTGACTGCAAAAACAGAATAAATAATATAAGAACGAAACTAGAATACTGCCTCCAGAGTTTAAGGCACTGGAAAATGTCAAGTGGACAATGCTGAAATAGAGATGGGGGCTGGGGGGGGAAAGAAAGAACAAGGAAAAAGAACATGTTCTCTGCCGTGACACAAAACCAAGTACAATAAGAATAAAAGGGAATAATAATGAAGCTGTGATGCACACTGTACACTTAGAGGTTAAAGCAGACATCCAGAAGACAAACATCTCAAACTCTTATCTACTTCAACTCATAAAATTTCCCATGAACTGTATTACTCACTAATCTTTACAAGCATGCAGAGTGGTTACTGAGAATGCCGTCCAAACAGCCATTACAGTAAAAGAACATAAACAATGTTGCATATCTGACTACAATATCATTTCTTTCTACATAAGAAACTCATATAAAAAAAACATCATGTCACTTGCCAGCCTAGAGACTAAGCAAATGAGAAAATGAAGTACCTCACTCATTTAATTTTATCATATATTTGTATCGGTAATATAATGCTAATAAAAAGTTTAGTAACAAAATCATCTCAGGCCTAGGACTTCCTAGGAATTAATTAACCTAAAAGTCCACAGAGGAAGACGGCCCAAGCAAGCTCACAGAGTGATTTCTCACTATCCACATTAACTTCAATAGAAACAACTGGTGTGTATCAGGCTGCATTCTGTTCCCGCTTGAAGGAATGTAAACATACAGACATTAAATTGCATTATTCTGAGTAAAAAATTTAACCTATCATTTTAAACGTGGCAATTAAAGGATTGAAAGTAAGAGCAAACTGAAAATCCACACTTAATTCTGGCTTAATAAGTCTCCTCTCAGCAGCTGAGTGCAGTTAACTGAGGATGCACACTCTCCTACCTCGCTAGTTATCATCTCTGCATCCTCTGAAAACGTACTATCATGGCCAGCTAGAGCTTCTGCCCAGAAATCTTTCTATCTGTGCCACCAGACTTGGAAAGAAATGAAAGGTGAGATAAAGAGAGCTTGGTCAATTGGAGAGAGGGCACTTTGTGTTGCCTTGCACTGATCCTCTCACCATGCTGAAAACAATGTGGTTGGTCTTATGAAGGAAGCTTTATCTACACCTGGGAGAGGATGGGACAAAGCCTGTTAATCAATCATAGTGAAGTTTGGAAGGAGCAAAAAGGTCAGAAAGCAAAAAGATGAGTGGTGAAGTCTTTCACTGCTTTGATTCCTTTCTATATAAAAGCATAAAAAGACTGGATTTCCTGAGGAAGCCTATTCATGAGTAGCAGACACAATACTCTTTCCATTTTCAAACTTTAAGGGGCATAATGGATTTATATCAATTATAAATAATTGATATAAATACAAGTACATACATTTTTATTAGCAATGAATTTCTAAGTAATGTGATGAGGGTGCAGTGGTAGTGGTCAACAACACATGGTGACTTACTTCATTTGATCCACTGAATACAACTTAGCTCTGAATACTAATAACAAAATCAAGTTAATTATGTTAAGTCAATGTACTAAAATATAAGGTTGCAGACTTGCTAAAAGGTAGAAAATGTAGGAAATATTTTTAAGATGATGTGGAATTGTATTCTAGAAAACAGCGCCACCAAAAAAGACTTGGAGGACAGAGATAGCAAGGACTGTTGATCACATGTGTATCCGAAATGCTTATGATGACCTTTGACTTAGTGAACAAGGTCAATACAGAGATTACCTTTATTGAACTGAACTAAGGCTTTGCTGCTGATGTCCACCTCCTTAAGAATTGCCATTTCTGTTTCACTGACACTAATGTCAGACTTGAATCTAAATCAGTGAGGTGATTACACTCCACTTTCTCCTCTTTTGTCATGGAAAAGAGCCTCAAAGCTAAGAGAGTTGGTATTTTTCCAGAGATGATTTCCCTTTGATCACAACACTGTGGGACTCATTCCCATTTCAGTGAAACAAATCATCCAAACAAATTGTGGTGCCAAAGTACCTGATGCTGTGAGCTGAGCTATCCTTACTGTGACAATAATCAATTTAAAGTGGCATTCCTCTTTAAAAAAGATCCCCAAAAGACAAGACCATCTTCAGAAGATTGTGGGAATTAGCATTTCAGAAGAGATGTTAACCGCGCTTTCACTACTGTAGACAAGACCTGAAGAGAAACTGTAACACAGCGGTTGCTGGTGAAAAGTTCTGCATTCAGACTCCATACATTCTATCATAAAAGAATCTTAAAAACCTTTCTTGAGAAAATCTAATACTTCCTCAAGCTGTGGCAGAACTTACAGTTCAAAAGGGACAAAGACCTTGGACTAGGAGAGAGTACAATTCCTGTCAGATCTTACTGAG